CGGGCTGATCATTAACCAGGACTTCCTGCAATGCTGGCGTCACGGGGCGGGGCGGGTCCTGAGCCCAGTGGCGAAAAGCTGGGGTTAAGGCGAGGGGGGCGGTTCCAGGAGCCCAGCCCCCATTCCTGGCGTCCTCTCCCCTACTGCCAGCCACCAGGCGAACCTGTGGGGACATTCTGGGAAGGGGCGGGAGCGGGGTGCAGAGGCAGTGGGCGGAGGAGAGGGTAGTATAATGGTGACTTGGGCCACTCTGCAGCGCAGAGACCCAAGGTCGCCCCCCAGATCGCCTGGAACCCAAGTGTTGCATCACCAAATCCCAGAAGGCCCTGGTCACTCTAGGGTCCAGCCTACACCTGTCAGCTCTTCCAGAGGGCCCAGCAACCCACTGTTAGGGACCCTGGACTCTGCCCTTCACATGTGGAGGGTGTAAATCTTCTAAAACCCCAGTTCTCAGATCCCAGGGTTCTAGCCACCAGGTGTCGGGTGCTCCGTCACTCCTGGCACTGCCAGCCTGGGCTGTGGGCAGGGCTGGGAAAACCACCCCTGATTAAATACACGCGGATGATAAGTTGGCACTGCAGGCCAAGACTCCCCTCATCCCCTGGTCCAGCTCACCACCCCAAAGTCGGCATCACCCCTGCCCCAGGTGCTCAGGGCTAGAGGTCTCCAGGCACCAGGTCTCTGCCCCAGTGGGGGCTAGGAAGCTAGTAGGACACCTGGTCCTTTAAGAACAGCTGGTGGGTGGGGGTAGGGGGCGGCGGCGGCGGAGTCATCCCCAGCCTGGCTGGTGTGTATTTTAGATAGAGCCCAGGTTAACCATTAACCCAGCAGAAAGTCTGACCTGTGTAGGTGTAGGGGGGTTGTGTGTGTGTGGGGGCTGAATCTGTGCCCCTTCCCCCCAGGTCCAGGGCAGAGGGGCTTCTGGGCTGTTTTCGAGGGGCTTCAAGTAGTGGAAGAGGTTTTGAGACGGCAGGGCTGGAGAGGGAAGGGAGGAAGATCCGGGAGGTGGAGGGAGATGTGAGTTCTCAGGTGCCACACCAGCAGCACGGCCATCTTCTGAAGGAAGGGGAGAGGGGCGACTACAGGACCCAGGGGGCGTCCACACAACTGCTAGCCACAAGGCAGGTGGTTCAGAGGCACCTGGGAAGGGCCTCAACCCAGAAACCCTCCGGAGAGGTCCTGCTGTGCACAGGTGGGGTCAGCAGGAGGCGGAACGCCCAGCTATGACCAGGATGGAAAAGAACAGATAATTAGTAGATGTGCTCCAAACACGGTACCCCAGAAAAGTGGGGGAGGGGATGTCACTTAAAGGGCATGGGACCAAGGGAGATCAGGAAAGGGCCCAATTTGCCCTATAGAGCCAGGTCATCTCACTCCTAAAGTTTAGGGGAGAACAGAATGTCAAGGCCGGCTTGGTATGGCTCACCCAGTGCCCAGGGCAGGGCCTGGCTCAACTCGGCTAACGCAGTCTCCAGGAAGTCCTCCCTGGTTCCTAGGGAGGGCTTCAGATGCTTCGCCTGAGCTCCTATAACCCCGTGGGTTTCCTCCGTCGCAACACTGCCTACTTTGGGGCCTCACTCTCGGGAACCTGGACTGTGAGCCTGTGGGGTGACCAGGCGCACTCTCGGACTCCCGGAAACCTGGATGCCCCAGTTGGATGCCCCCAAGGTTTTTCAGTGGCTGACTTATTTCAGAAGTAGATCATCAGGTCTTGATTCCAGGGTGCACGCAAAGCTCCCAGCTTCCAGTATACAACTGAGTACACTCACCATGTGTCTCAGCCCCTCCAGGGATCCCTCACCAGCCCCTACACCCCCAAACCCCTCTGCCATCAAGTCGATTTGGATGCACAGTGGCCCCATACGGATTTTCCAAGGCTGTAAATCTTCACAGGAGCAGACAGCCTCACCCATCTCCCACGGCTCCCTGAGCACAAGGCCAGTTTAATGGATGGCGAAATGAATGGGTTCCTTCTCCCGCAGCAAAGGTGGATTCCACCTCCACGGTGTGTGACCAGCCTCAGGGAAGCTCTGCTCTCAGGGAACCTCTGCCCTCACTGCCTGCCCAGGAAAAGCGAAGCTGGGGAGGGGTGAGGTGGAGCGTGAGGGGAGTTACTATTTTGGAGAGGGTGGTGGGAAAGGCCGCCACTGGAGCTGAGAGTTGTAGGATGTGAGGGGGGCGCCCCCTCCGGGGAGAGTGGGAGGAACTGGCTGTGCAAAGGCCCTGAGGTAGGAGCCTGCTTGCTTTGTTCCAGAAGCAGCCCGGGAGCTGTGGGCCAGGACCCTGGGAAATGAGGCCAGAGAGGTGATAGGAGCTGTCGGGGATGCTGCCATTTACTGCCATCCAGTTAGTGTCAACACCTTGGGCTGCAGTCTGCAAGGTCAACAGTTAAAACCAGCCGGCAGCACCTGGGGGGAAAGATGAGGCTGTCTGTTCCCATAAAGATTTTACAGCCTCAGGTAACCCACAGGGTCCAATCTCCTCTGACCCTGTCTGTCTGCCGTGATAAAACCAAAACCTAGCCTCTTGCCATCCGGTCGATTCCACCTTACAGCGACCCTATAGGTCAGAGGAGAAGAGCCGCTGTAGGCCCCACAGGAGAAGGCTGCCTCGTCTTTCTCCCACAGTGCGGTTGGGTGGTTTGAACCCCCAACCTGGCAGTGAGCGGCCCAAAGTTTAACCCCCAGGGCCCGGGGCCATAATGAGGAATGTGGATTTTATTCCAAAGGGAATAGCAGAGAGATTCAACAGTGTGGGACGTGGGGCGGGGCCAAGGATCAAAAGCCGCCCCCCCCCCAATTGCAGAAGATCACCTGGGACAGACAAGACAGCAGCGTCTCATCTATGTGAGACGTCTGCCCAGCAGCAGGGTATGCATGTGTGCGGGAGACCACCAGGGGACAGAGAAAGTCCTGGTGACATCTGGGAGGCGGGGGACAGACTCAGAGAACCCCAAGGAGAGGCCAGCTAAGGACCCCGGGGACAGACAGACAGACAGCAGTTTGATGGAGCCATCCTATTCCTTCCAGAACCCTCTCCACTCAGAAAGGTTCCCTGGAGCTGGAAAAAGCCCCAGCCGGCCCCCTGCCCCCCTCGCCCGTGGCGTGCCCACTCACACCTCGGGCACAGGAAGCTGGCAGGCCCCACAGGAACCTTTCTGTGGAGGGGGGGTGGGTGTGTGGAGGCCGGCGGGCGGCAGGGACGAAGGGAGAGGAGCCGGCTGGCGGCCGGGCAGTGGGCAGCGGCTGCACAAAGGCCCCAGTGTCTGCCCCGCCTGCCCCTGGGTACAGATATAAATAAGATGTGCATGCACCTTTATAGAGATATATATATACACCAGTGGGCTGGGGCCACAGGCTCCCCAAAGGGCCCCTGGCTTGAAGGCCCACAGAGACAGCCCCCACCCCCACCCCAGAGGGAGAGGCACAGGCTGAGAGGGACCCAGGGGAGGAGGGAGGGCCTGTCAGAAGCTCAGTGGCAGAGGCAGTGTGGCTGGTGGTTGTCAGCAACCTTGACTCTGGCCACCCTGGGTGACGGAGGAGCAGAACTGCCCCACAGCTCTGACCAGTCAGTAGTCGGTCAATAGCAGAGACCACCAGGCCTTTCTTTGAGGTGCCTCTAGGTGGGTGCGAACCCTTCCCACCTTCTCGCCAGTGGTCGAGAGTGCTCAACAAACCACCAGCGTGGCCACTACGTCCACGCCCACTCAGAGGGACCCTCGAGGACCCTGCCAAGCTGCCCCGAGGCTGTCCATGGGTGACGGCCTTCTCCATTGCTCTCCCGAGGATCATCGGGTGGGGCTCCAGAGGCCGGCCTTTGAAGTTAGCTGCTGGACTCCTTCCCTGAGATGCCATCATGGCTCCCTCCCCAGGGAAAGCCGGCAGGCTCTCATCCCGGAAACAGGCTCTCATCCCGGAAACAAACAGACCCGGAGAACAGACAGAACAGACGGAGAAACTGCTTTTGAGCAAAAGAGGGGCAGGGAAAGTCAGGGCAGTGGCAGGGAAGTCAAGAGGGACAGCCAGGAAGCCCAGGGGATGACACCCAGAGAGAAGCAGACAGACAGGGCAGAAGAGGAGCCTGGGGGCTGGTGACCTTGGGCTGGGAGAGGGGAGGGCCTGTCTTCCTGGGACTTAGGGACACCACCTGTGGGGCTTGCCAGGCCCAGCCAGCAGGCCGAGGGGCAGGGAGCAGAGGTAAGGGAGGTGGCCCTGGGGTTCCGGATCTTGGTGTTTACCTGGGGCAGGCACGCCAAACAGCATCCGGGCCGGGCTCACAGCAGGCGAGGGTGGGACAGGCTGGGCCCCAGCGCTGGCACCATCAGACACCGGGCACGCCCACCTGTGACCTGGGCAGTGAGTAACACGCCGCGACACCTGGTGACGCGAAGAGCCTGGCAGGCCATGTGGCCCCAATGCCAGATACACACAGGCCCATACAGAGACAGATGCAAGGGACATTCATACAGAAACCAGTGATTTGGGGTGCCGTAACGAACACAGTGGCACCCTCCCCCCAAATGCCGTGTCACTGCCAGACGAGACATAGTGACATGGTGACAAAGACATCACACAGCAGCACACACACACTGCGCCGTGACAGACACCCAGATACTGTGACAGAGCCCCTCCCCCACCTCCCAAAGGTGAGCACAGACATCCACAGACACACAGCGACCCGGGACGAGAAAACTCAGGGACAGGGAAACACGGGTGGATGGGCACACACTTAGAGGCTGCATGGAGACACACTGCAGACACCCAGACCTCTCAAGAGCTAGTCACCCCCCGACACACAGCTGGCTTATGGGGGTGCCCCTTTCCTCCTCCCATAGCAAGTCGTGTCCAGGTGCTGGGGTGATGTTGAGGGAGCGTGAAGGCTTGAGATTGCGGACACTATGGTGTTACTGCAGTTAGAACAACATGAAGGTTAAGTCCACAGGCTCTGGGACAGAGGCTAGGGGTCAAATCCCAGCCCCCAGCGCCTCCACCCAACCATGGAGTGACCCTCACTAGATAATCACTTTGGGAAACCCTCCCAGTCAGAGTCCGTGTTGAAGGGGTTCTAACTTATCGCGGGGCCCGCCCCCCCCACCGTGTCAACGAACAGAACTGCCCCGTAAGGTTTCTGAGGCTGGAATCTTTACTGCCCTGTCTCCCACAGACTCCCTAAGTGGATTTGAACCCGCAACGTTGAGGTTCGGGACTTAATCATTGCGCCTGCAGGGCCCTGGACTATCCATATCACCTGTCTGTGTCATTATCACCTGGGGCCTTCCCATGCCCACAGCGGGGTTGGGGGTAGTGGGGGGTGTTGGGGGGAGCCCTGACCTGCCGCTCCTCTCTGCTCCGTGGCTGGGCCTTCCCAGGTGTTTCCTAGTCCGTCCCTCCATCCCCGATCCCTGGCGTCCCCACGTCTGTCCATGCGTCCCACGTCTGACCGTGGTACTTTTCCACACTGGACAGGCGCCGGGTGTCCCTGGGGTAGGGTCACACCTGCCCACGCCCGCCCTGCTGGTGGCCACGACACCTCCATGGCCGGGCCCGCCCGCCCCCCAGGACCCTACAACAACACCCCGCCCCTCTGGCCACCTGAGGTCCCCACTGGGGCGGCCGGGGGCCCAGGGCTGGGGACAGGAAGCCCGAGGCCTGGGTGCCCTGAAAGCGCCTTTCAGCCGGGCCTCCGCCGCGCCGCCGGCTCCTCCCGCGGAATAATATTTGGGCTGTTGGCCGGGGGGCGGGGGCCAGATCCGGAGGCCGCCTGGGAGCAGCCAGAAACCGCAGGGCTTCCTGCCTCGGGCTGCCCACTCCGGGAGAGACCCCCGGGCCGCGGGAGGGGGCGGCGCCCGGGGAGACTGAGGGCCTTTCTCTGCGGCCAGTTGTTTTTTCCAGGAACCGGGAGGAAGTCCCCGGCCTGCCCAGCACAGCCAGCAGGCCGGCGGGGCCAGCGCGGCAGGGGCGGGGTGACACGCAGCCGGGCAAGGCGGGCACCGGGGGGGACAGAAATAGAGGCCGGCGGCCGGCCTGCGGTGGCAGGTAGAGGCGGGAACTGGGACCCGGGGAGGGAGGGGGGCAGAGCCTCCGGGGGAGGGCCAGAATCAGGGACGCAGAGGGAGGGGGCCCGGGCCCAGAGTCAGAGGGAGACGACGTGGCTCTCACGTCACACCCCAGTCACACCAGCCACACACGTACCGCACATACACACCAGCCACACGTGTACCACACACACCAGGCACTCACGTGTATACCAGCCACACATGCCAATCACACATATATACCATCCACACACATACCACACACACCATCCACACACATGTACACCAGCCACACACGTGCCACACACATGTACACCAGCCACACATGTGTATACCAGCCACACACATACACACCAGCCACTGTGTACACAGCCACACACGTTCCACATACACTAACCACACACATGTATACCAGCCACACGCGCCAATCACACATATACACCAGCCACACACATACCACACACACCAGCCACACACGTGTATACCAGCCACACACATGTATACCAGTCACACATGCGTGCATCATACATTCATCCAGGGAGGTGGCACACACATCACACAGTCACATGGACACACCAACTACACATGCACACCAGCCATACACATACACATCATACATACATCCACCACACACATACACCCATCCAGGGAGTCAGCACACATATCACACAATCACACGTCCACATAAACCACACACACACCACACACACCAATCACACATACACATCAGCCACACGTGTACACAGCCACACACGTACCACATACACTAACCACACACGTTTACCAGCCACATGCGCCAATCACACATATATACCAGCCACACACGTACCACACACACCAGCCACACACGTGTATACCAGCCACACACATGTATACCAGCCACACACGTGTGCATAATCCACATTCATCCACGGAGGTGGCATACACATCACATAGTCACATGGACACACCAACTACACATGTACACCAGCCATACACATATACATCATACATACACCCACCACACACATACACCCATCCAGGGAGTCAGCACACATATCACACGTCCACATAAACCACACACACACCACACACACCAATCACACATACACACCAACCACACACATGTACATCATACATACATTCAGGGAGATGGCACACATATCACACAATCACACGTACACATGAACCACACACATATGCACCAACCACATGCATGTACACCAGCCACACGCATACACATCAATATATATACCACACACCCCTATCACACGGACACACCAAACACACATGTACATCAGCTACACAAATGTACACCAGCCACACACATACACATCATATATATACACACCACACATACACACATCCCACATCCTAATAACACATCCTTCCCAAGCACATACACACCACACACATGAATGACATCAACCATGCACACACACCACATACACATCACACACACATGACGTACACACATCGCACCACGCGGAATACACTCCATAACTATCACACACACATCATGCACCCAGACACAATTACATCACACATACCACCAAGCACACACACCACAATACAATACCAGTCATACACCTCACACCTATTCCACCACGTACACACTACCTATAGCAAATCACACACGCCATACACACCACATCCACACACCATGCACACATTTCATACTCCACACACACACATCACATGCCACACATAGGTAGGTAAGCAAGGTCTTTGGCTTGACAACTTTGACTGACTGACTGACTGACTCCAGAGGCAGACGCCTAAGGAGTCTCCATCGCCACCCACCCCAAGCCCACACCATAGACAGTAAGGGCTGGACCAACATTATCAGCCCAGCCCTGCCCTCCTGTCCCTGTCCTGCTGACAGGCCCTGGCTCAGCCCCTCCCATCTCAGGCCTCAGTGGCCACTCTGTAAAGTGAGGGCCTTGAGTTACACAGCTGCGTGTCCCAGAGAGCTGCTCTCTCAGAGCTCCGGGGGCCAAGAGTCTAGGGGAGAGACCAGAGGAGCGGAGAACCCTTCCTTCTACCCTTATCCCCAAGAAACACGAGACCACCCTCTGGGGCAGGGATGCCTCCACCTGATCTTACACATGGCTCAGCAGTGGCAGAGCCCCAGCAAACACAGGTATCTCTCTCTCTCTCTCACACACACAAACACAAGGATAGGCAGATCGACAATCGGGTGTAATCACACACACACATAGGATAGGCAGACCTACAATCGGTGTAATCATACACACACAAACACACACACACATTCTTTGAGGCTGTGTGTTCATGCAGAGACACAAACCAAACCAGGTGAGACTCACCCCAAAGAGAATCACAAACACAAGACAAGAAACACACACAACACATATATCCCGAGACTCTCACATCAAAGACATATCCCGAGAATGAACAGACTACCAGCCTGGAGGCTGGGGTCCTCCTCACAAGGGGCTCAGACAGTGGGTCACACCTGAGGGTAGACCACAGGGACCCGGATTGGGACAGTGTGTCACAACACAAACACACACTTGGACAGGCACACCCCATCTCCCGTTCTTCGATGAACACTTCATGGGCCCCTTCTTCCTCCACCCAGCTTAACCCAAACGGAGTAACCCCTGGGCTCTGGGCTCCCTGATCCTCAGAGGGGCCTGCTAGAGATGTGTGTCTGGGAAGGGGGGTGGGGGTGGGGAGATGGCCTTGGTGACCGTAGAGCCACCTCCCCCTGCCTGCTGCCCTGGCCCTACACTGCGGGGGCTGCTATCTTTGAACAAACTGCCCTTGGGGTCAGGGACAGCAAAGAGCCAAAGGTCAGGTCGATGCCTCTCCTGCCCCCTCCCCCAGAGCTCTTAGGGGCAGAAAGGCGAGGGGACCCGGGAACAGAAATGCAGGTGTTCAGAGCCCCACAGGGCCCATCGGCCAAGGAAAAGAAACGTGCTGAAAGGGGAGGAAACGTACCTTTAATGGGTCAGACAGCCAGGATCCCGCTTCCCAGGCAAGAACCAGATTACTTAGTAGAAATTCCCCACTCCCTCACCGGCCCTTTCTGTTTTCTCCTGGATGAAAGGGGTGGGGGCGGGGGATGGTCTCCAAGGAGGATTCCCTTCCCCCACCGGACCCACACCATAGCCAGCACAAGGGCTATGGCTGTGGTGACTTCTGTGGTGTGTGACATGCCCACTGATAACCAGTGCTTATCAATACGGCGGCCATCGTCACGCCCAATGAGCCAGAAGGGTGGTGACGCAAGATGGTGGCCAACTGGACACCCAGAAACAAGGGACCACAGCACCTAGTGGGCCAAATGAAGGTGTGATCGAAGCGGTATCAAAATCCTGCCCCCAAGGGTCAGCCAAAACGATGGCCATCACGGCCCCCAAAAGGCCCAAGCAAGATGTCACCCCAGATGGTGGCCATTAGCAAGCGTCCAATGGATCAACCACTGAAAACAATCAGCATGGCAGTCTTCACAGTGCCCCATGGGCCAACCCAGGGGGCCATGAGGGTCATCGCCCAGTGGATCAACAGGATACCCCTCAGAGACAGCAGTCATCCATCACAGCTGGCCGTAGACCAGCCGAGATGTTCGCCGGTGGAACGGGCAAAGTCAACGAGGAAGATCAGGCCCCAAAGAGCCGTGGCCTACCCACCATGCTCCCGCCTCCCCTGCTAGGATGCATTCAGCAGCGAGCGGGAATAGAGGCCCTGGTAGTACACCCCAGGGTCCCCACCTTCAGCCCCATAGCCCCCAAACCCCATGTCCAGTTTGGGAGGCGCCGGCGTCTGTTCGGACATCAAGTTGTTGATGGAGAAAGGGTGGTTGAAGTTGTAAGGTGCGTCTAGCTTCAGGTCTCCGGGCAGCTCCAGGCCTGTGAAGTAGGGCGTGGAGGAAGTAACTCCGCCACTGCCACCGTCCAGGGCCTCCACGTCCTCCCCACCCTGGGCCTCGGGCTCGGGGGGCGGAAGGGGCTGGGGCTGGGGCGGCGGGGAGGTGATGGCGGCGGTGGCCGCCGTGGTGGTGGCGGCGGGCCCGGTGCTGTTTCTGGAGGGGGCCGCATTGCTACCTCCCTTCTTCACCTTCTCCTCCAGTTTGAACCGCTTCTGTCGGCGCAGGTAGCAGCCGTTCTCGAACATGTTCCCTGAGCTGGGGTGCAGGGCCCAGTAGGAGCCCTTGCCCGGCTTGTCCGGGGAGCGCGCCACCTTGACGAAGCAGTCGTTGAAGGAGAGCGAGTGCCGGATGGAGTTCTGCCAGCGCTGCTGGTTCTCCCGGTAGTACGGGAAGAGGTCCATGATCCACTGGTAGATCTCGCTCAGCGTCAGCATCTTGCCCGGCGCCTGCTGGATGGCCATGGTGATGAGCGAGATGTAGGAGTAGGGCGGCTTGGCGTGGGCCAGCGGCCGGCGGTACCCTTTCTGCAGCTCCTTCCCGTGCACCAGGCCCAGGCCCGGGCCCCCGTACCCCGAGTTGCTGCCCCCGCCGCTGTTGGCGCCCAGGCCTGCGAAAGTTGGGCCCAGGGGGGCTGCAGGGGCTGGAGGCGCCAGGGGTCCAGAGGGCAGTGGGGAGGCAGGGAGCCCTCCTGGCGGGTAGGGGTTGCTCAGAGGGCTCAAGGTCATGTAGGAGTTGAGGGGGGCCATGGTGGGCATGGGCGTCACCGGGGAGTAGACCTGCAGGGAGAGAAGGAGAGATGGGAGGGGTCAGTGGGTCTCCACCTGCCAGGGTTGCCGGTGTCTGTCTGTCCATCTCGCCTCACTCCTTATTATGATTGCTATTATTCATTGGGATTTACTATAGGCCTCATCATATCCTACGTCATTCCATCGTCGAGGCATGTCAGGTAGAATTGTACAGGTGCCGCCACAAGCCGTTTCTAGACATTCTTTTCCTACAGAGAATCATCTCGCCTCTCTGTCCGTCAGGCCCGTTCATCCTCCGCTCCCTCTGTAGCTATCTATCAAACCCAAACCCAGTGGCATCCAGTTGGTTCTGACGCGTCACCACCCCAGAGTGCTGAAGGAACTGCCCCGGTGGGTTTCTGAGACGGCGACTCTGTGTGGGAGTCGAAAGCCTCGTGTTTCTCGAGTCCAGGAGTCCAGGGCACGTAATCATTGCGTGACCACAAACCACACGCTCTGCTCTGGAGCCGATGCTGACTCACAGTGACCCTATAGGACAGGGTAGAAATGGCCCCCTGGGTTTCCTAGCTTGTAACCCTTTAAAAAAAAAATGAATCATTTTATTAGGGGGCTCTTACACATCTTATAACAATCCATACATCCATTGTATCAAGCACATGTGCACCTGTGTTGCCCTCAACATTTCCAAAACATTTTCTTTCTACTTGAGCCCTTGGTATCTGCTCCTCTTTCATCCCCTCCCTCCTCCACTCTCCCACCCTAGTGAATCCTTGATCAATGATGTATTATTATTGTTACTTCGTGTCTCACACCATCCATCATCTCCTTCCACCCACTAAACAGACTATAACTGTGTACAGGAATAGAAAGCCTCGTTGTCTCTCTCCCACGGAGCCGCTGGTGGTTCTGAACCTCTGAACTTGCGGTTAACAGCCCAACGCATAACTAAAGCTGTCTCTTCATGTCTCTCTCTCTTCCCCCACTTCCCTGCTCTCCCTTCCCTGGGTGCTCATGCACCAAAGCGAAGTGGGTTGTCTGAGACTCTTTCAAGGTGCCCAAGATGTCGAGAGGTGCAGAGGTAGTTCAGTGGTAGAACTCTCTCGCTTTCCGTCCAGAAGGCCCGGGTTCAATTCCCAGCCAGGGCACCTCATGCACAGCTCCCTCACATAGGCTTGCCTGTTGCTAAGTTGCCCAACAGGTTCCAGTGGTGTTGGCCAACTAAGGTGGCCTAGGGAGAAAGAGCGGGCAACCAACTTCCCAAACTCAGCCAACGTTGACCCGGATGGATCTCCGTGGTCCCGTCTCCCTGAGCCTGGGGTCACTGGTGAGTCGAACCAGCTCGGTGGCAGCTAACAATGGCGAGGTCAAAGCCATGTTCCTAAGAAGGCTAAGATAAGGACTTCTCCTTTTCCCTCTCCCTCCTGAGGATCAGACCAAGAAATCCAAACCCGCTGCCACGGAGTTGGTTCCGACTCATCACGCGGACCCCAGAGGGCACAAGGAAACTGCCCTCTAGGGTTTCTGAGACTGCCACTCTCTAAGGGAGCAGAAAGCCTCGTCTTTCTCTGGGGGAGCGGTTGGTGGTTTCGAACTGCTGACCTTGCAGTTAAGCAGCCCAACACGTAACTGGGTCTCTCTCCCTCAGCATCAGGACACCAGGAGGAGCCCTGAAAAGAGGTCCTGAGAATCTCCTAAAACGGAGAACTTCCAATCTATCTAACAATCGGGTTTTATATCTATATGGCTATCTGCCAATCTTTGAGCTTGTAAAATTACTTTTTTTTTAAAAGATCTAAAGGATTTGTGTTCCAGAGTTCACGTGTTTCACCCATGTACCACCTGCCAGCGAGTCCAAGACACCATGCTTGTAAACTGCACGGCTACTGGTCTTTCATGTAGCAATCCCCACTGCTGTTGAGTCTCTCCCAGTAGAATTCAAAACCTCACACCAGCAAGCTGACGACGCGTGGGACAGAGGAGAAGTGTGCCTGTGGGTTTCCAAGACTGCTGCTCTTGACAGTCGTGAGAAGTCGGCCTTGTCTTTCTCCCACAGGGCAGCTGGTGGTTTCAAACTGCCGGCTTTGAGGTCCGCAGCCCGATGCGTAACCACGACACCACACGGGCTCCTGTTGTCTGACTTGCAGCGACGCTCAGCCGTGGGGTAGAATTGCCCCAGCGACTTTCCTCGCTGCCCTGGCCTGTCATCTTTTCTGCTGCGGAGCTGCTGGTGTTGTTGAAACTACAGCTCACAGCCTGGTGCTTCACCCTTGGGAGCTCCTTTCTGTACCAGCCACAACAATAACAACAAGCAAACAACCCGTCGCCGATGATAAATGTTTGCTACGTTGATTGCAAACCACATTCTGCTTTCAGAAATGCCAAATCTTTATCTCAGCTCTACGGAGTAGGGTCAGTGTCTCTTCCGAAGCAAAAACCAAGCTCACTGTCCTCACGTCCATTCTGACCCAACAGGACCGAGCAGAGCTGCCCACCATGGGTTTCCAAGGTTGTCGATCTTTACGGGAGTAAAAAGCCCCGTCTGTCTCCCACAGAGCGGCTGGTGGGTTCAAACTGCTAACCTTGTGGTTAGTAGCTCAGCGCGTAACCACTACACCACCAGGGCTCCTTGTCTGGGTCTCTGAGTAGCCCCCTTATACATTCTTTCATGGCGTCTCCGGACAGGGGCCCACGGTTCAGTGCTCAGCTATAAACTTAAAAGGCTGGAGGTTCAAATCTACCCACAGGAACCTAAGAAGTAAGGTGTGTCCACTTACACCCAACAAACCAGCCCCTGCCAACCCAAGAGAGCGTAGTTCTAATCCGACCCCCGGAGTCTGAACGGACAGCAGGACAGTGGGTGGATGTGCAGTCTCTCATACTGCGCCGGTTCCTCTCGCTGGGCCAGGCACCTCCCAGGAGCTGTCTCCTTCAGGCCTGGTAGCCGCGCCCTGTGGGGGAGTGGGGGGGGACGGGGGGCTGCTCTCGGAACATCCATCCACAGCCTGGGAAGCTGAGGCCCAGAGAAGTGGTTTCCGGGTCCCACAGCCTGTGGGGTGTGTGTGTGTGCAAAACTGGGATTCAGACCTCGGCAGTCCGGGTCCTGGATCATGTCAAACAGATGAACAAGAGAGCAGGGAAACTGAAGGCAGGGTAGAAGGTGCCCCAGGCAGCCTCCTGGTGAACTGCTGGGCTGCTGACTGAAAGGTGGGTGGTTCGAACCCACCTGCAGCTCCACGGAAGAAATGGCCTGGCAGTCGCTCAAGGAGAGCCTGGGTGGGGGTGGGGTAGTTCTTCTCTGCCCTCCAGAGTCAGAATGAGTCAGAAGAGGCTCAGAGCAGCACCCAAGCCGGTGCCATTAACAGGCACAGCTGCTCACCCAAAGGTCGGGGGTCCCAGGGGACACCGACGTGCCTTGGGAGAAAGGCCTGGCAATGCGTCACGGAGAACTCCGTGGAGCAGTTACACGTGGGGGCCTTGTTAGCCCATAGACTTTACAGTGATGTCCATGCTGCTCTTTCCCACCCTCTTCCAGCCCCATCTCCCACCTGCCCTGCTCCCTCCCCGGAGAGACAGGAGCCCCACCCCATCCCTAGCTGGGGTCCCACAGCACTCAGGGAGCTGCCACACCCCTGGCGCTCGGTGGGCATCAAATCCCACGCTGTCCCCCGTCTGCACGGTAAGCTCCTGCGGGTCCCCAAGTCCGGAGAGAAAAGCCACTCTCTCATGGTCACTCAGGGGGTCAGGGTCAGGGCAGAGTCCCGGATGAGAAACCATTCCGTCTCCCCCACCCCTGAACTCTCCAGCCTCCTCCTTTCTCTTGTGTCCCCTTTGGGGCTCTTTATTGGTGGTGGTCAGCCCAAGCCCTGGGTGGCGTAGTGATTACCAGTTAGGCTGCTAACCATAAGGTCAGCAGTTCGAAACCAACAGCCACTCTGTGGGAGAAAGGTGAGGCTTTCTACTCCTATAAAGAGTTAGGATCTTGGAAACCCCACTAGGACAGTTCTACCCTATCTTTTAGGGATGCCAAGAGCCGGAATCAACTCGGTAGCAGTGAGCTGGGTTGGTGGTTATTCTATCTGTCCTGTCTCCGGACCTCTGAATCGTCTCACATTTGCCCCCCTCTCTTTTGCTCTCCCTCTACTCTTGCCCCTCAGGGCCTGTCTCTGTCCCCACCTCATCTATTCACTCCCTCCCCCCATTCTCTTCCGGCTGCTCTGGGACCCCCATCTCTCTCTCCCCACCCCTCCTAAGGAATCCTGGTGGCACCCTGGGCTGCTTCCCCACAAGGTCAGCAGTTAGTTCAAGCCCTCCTTGGGGGAAGATGAGGCTGTCTGTTCCCATCAAGAATCTCAGAAACCCACAGGGGCAGTTCAATTCTGTCCTAAAGGGTCGCTGGGAGTCGGAATCCACTCAAAGGCAGTACATTTGTTGGTTTGCTTGTTTTTAGGGGTGTGTGGGTGGCTTCCTGTCTCTCTCCCCTGCCCATCGCCCCTTCCCACCCTGTTCTTCCCTGGGTCTCTTTCCTTCAGCATCACAATGGCCCCCCAGAAAGCAGGGGTCACTCCCCTCCTTCACCCCCCCTTCTCACCTCACCCTGGGTGGCTGTTTCTGCCCCCTCCCCCAAAAGGAGGAGGGTCCTTCACAGGTGGAGGGTGCCATGGATTCAGGGGGATCCAGAGAGAGGTGAAGAGGGATTGCTAACACCCCCCCAGTCCCCCCACTCAACCAAACTCACCCACTGCCATCCAACCAATTCTGTCTCCTAGT